TTAGAGAGGTATAAACATAGACATTTACATATGTAAATATATTAATATATAACGACAAGGACATAAGTCAATGTACATATGTTTATAGGTTAAGTATTAAGGTAGCAGATGGACATTGGCCCTCTACTCCAGTATTCCTTCAATGAGAGAACACTTGGCTCTAATAATATGGCATTTTGTGATGCTCACGTTGTCAACACAATTGCTGAAGACAAAATGGGTGCATAAGCAAATGTGATGAAGAAAGCTGATGGTGTCTGGCTATTAGAAGATATAGCATTTGGGGTCTTAAAGGCTTGAAGTTAAACAAGAAGCCATCTAGCAGGAAAGCAACAAGGCACATTTGGAAGAAGCACACCAGCCTGTGTGATCACGAGGTTTTGACGGCATGGGATCAGGTATCAGAATCAGAAGACCCCAAACAATTAGATCAATGCAATTAAGGGAGGTCAGAGTGGAGACCCAAAGCCCATCTATAGCCAATTGGACATCCCCTCACAGAAGGGTCACAAGGAAGGAACCAGTCAGCCAGTGTGCTTCCTCTCACCCACTATCAGAACCTCAGTTCTACCTTACAAATCGAGCTAGACCGGAGCATGTGTACATTGGTACCAATAAAAGCTCTCAACACACGGAATCCAGGCCAGATAAACACCTCAGGACCAATAATGACAGTAGTGATACCATGAGGGTAGGGGGAATGTGGGGGGGTGGTGGTGGGGAGAAGGGGGAGAAATGGGGACCTGACTACAATGATTGATGTATTAATCCCCACCCCCACCCCATGGGGGAAGAACAACAGAAATGGTTGAAGGGAGACAGTGGACAGTGGACATTGTGAAAATAAGAATAATTTATACATTTTCAAGGGTCCACTAGGGTGGGAGGGAGGGGAGAGAGGGGAAGAAAGAGGAGGTGATACCAGGGGCTCAAGTAGAAAGAAAATGTTTTGGAAATGATGATGGCAACATATGTACAAATGTCCTTGATATGACTGATGTATGGATAAGTGTTATAAGAACCCCCAATACAATGATTTAAACAAACAAATAAATAAAGAAGTCTTGGAAACCCACAGAGGCAGTGTTACCCTGTCCTTTAGAGCAGCTCTGGGTTGAAATTGACTTGGTATCCAGGAGTTTGAGTTTTCAGAGTTAAGTACCTGTGTAACCATGTGTTGACAGTCTCCCTCATGTTGATGATTTGTCTTTGTCTTGTCTTTGTTCTATTTATGACTTAAAAGGGTTCTGTGTAAAGTATATTTGAATTTGGAGTCTTCTTGACCTAAAACTGTTCTAGGAGACAGGCGTGGACAAAAACACTAGAAAGAAAAGAAAATGCATTATGACCCGTTGAAAAATGGAGACCTGTAGGAAAGACCTGTAGTAGACAGACGCCACAGACAACAGGGTCTCTCTGAGCTTACAGAATAACTGGGTTTTGTAGGGCTGTTATCAGTCACGAATCGATATGTGTTTCTCAGGGCAAGATTTCCGGTTTGGGCAGTTATGAGGTTACGTGAACTCTTTTTTGGGTCCTCTTTCAGTGGGTTAGGCCAAGAGGATGTCCTAAAATCCAGAATGGTGTCTGTGCCATGGGCCTCTGGAATACCTAGCATAAACAGTTGGGCATATGCACAACTCCTTTATTCTCACTTCGGGGCTTTTCTAAGTCTGATTCTTTTCATGTGTTTTAGCATTCTTTTAAGACCATTTAGCTCATTTGGAATGAAAGATTTGGGCCTATTCTGTGTGCATGCTTGCATTTTCTGTAAGGTTGCTATTTTGCTTATTATTCTTTCTTTTTATTACTTTTAATGGCATTTGACCTTGGTAAATTTGCATTGCTCATCCTGGACTTTTGGAGCAAGTGGGGCTTGGAATAGCTCTTTTAGCTTCACCAAGCTCCCTCCCTCGTGCCGTGGTTTTATGTACTATTCAAGAACACAGTAGTTGACACATTGGGGGGGCAGGTTACTTGGACACTATCATTGTTTCGATGAGATGGGCTGTGCAAATGCAGATGGTTGTTCTTTGTTTTTCATAAAGAAGAGGGAAAAATAATAAAAATGAAAATTTTTTTTAAAAGAGAGAGGTATCACCGCCTTAAAAACCCTCCAGACTTTTTAAGCATCCAACCCAAACACTGGTCCGAGTGGTTACAAAAGGAGGAAAAGGAAAACTGAACTGGATTTAACTTCTTTGGTGCTACACAAGTTCGTTTCAAAGAGCAAGCAAACCAGAGAGTTCCTGCTTTGGCTCATCTCCCTTTTATCCGGATTGTTCTTCCCGGATCGCTTGTGTCCCTGTCTTGCTCGATGTGGATTTCTTTTCAAGTTGTGGGACCTTGTCCTGGACCCAAAGCCCTTCCATGCCAATTTTGTAAACGTGGTGTCAGCCCCAACCAGTATTTCTTTCCAGGGCCGCTGGTCCTCCTTTCCAACCCCTGCAGTTTCAGCTTCTGTGCTCAAGTCGGTCCACCTGGATTCCAGGGAGACACCTTGCTTATGTGGGGGTTCTCCTGTCTTCTGCCCCTCCAGCGTCCGATCGTTCTCCCTGCTGTCTCTCACACAGAAGCTGGTCTCATACAGCTCTTGTGGTTTCTGGGGATTTTTCCCCTCCACCCACTTGTGTCTTGGAGTTGCTGAGGAAAACTTCTCAGCCAGTTAGTTTGAAAACGTCATGGATGAGTTTTTTATTTTGCCCTCTAATGATTCTGTCTCTTTTTTAATGTGAGATTTAAAAGGAGGCAGAAATGATGTCACTGCCAATCTCCCAGCTGGGTCTACTCTCCCAGACATTCATTTTTCAAGTTCTCTTTTTGAAGGAAATGCTTTCTATATCTTTGAAAAACAACCCTACCCCCACCCCCAAATTTCCCCCCAGAAAATCTTGCTCTCTTAGCAGTTAACAAGGCCATTCTACCTTTAAACCAATATATAGGTTTAAAGTTGACTACACCATAACTGAATTTTCTTTCAATTCTTTAACTCACCTTATGTGGAAAAGTGCAAGTGACCAGCTATGTGATGGGTAGGAACCAAGTACAGGGACGTTGGTCTTATTCAATAATCAGTCTGAGTGACACCTTCAATTGGGGTCTTCTGGATTTAAAGTCAAGTAGGCAGATAGTCGTGATTATGTGAGAGTTAGGGGGCCATGTAATATAAGAGGTGTCCCTCTCACACAAAACTCACTGCCACCAAGTCAATTCTGTCTAGGCAGTGCAAATAGTTAATGCAGTCCATGCTAACTGAAAGGTAGGAAGTTTGAATCCACCTAGAGGTGCTTTGAAAGAAAGGTCTGGCAAGCTTCTACCCCCCTAAATCAGCCCTTGAAAAGCCTATGGAGCACAAGTCATTTCTGACACACATGGGCTCACCTTGAGTTGAAATAGCCTTTATGATAACTAGTCGAACTGGTAGCTCAAGAGAATAGGGGCAGTCTTATTGTGAATGCTTAAGCATTACAAGAATGTTCACCGAAATTGGATTGTCCACCAAATCTGTAAGAACGTGGACTGAGGCTTTGGGGGGAGGTTGAAACATTTTTGCGCATTCCGCAGTAGTTCTCAGGGTGATAAAAGTTTTCTTAGGCAGCATTGTCTCTCGGCAGGGAAAACCCCTCACTGACTTTACAGAAAAGCTCCCCCTCAGACCTCTTTAGTGGATAGTCATTCACTCTCTGTTCTAGCCCCCAGGTCTCTGGGATTTCACTATTATGTTGTATTTCTCACAACTGCTTTTAAAACTTAACTATATGCTTTTATTCTTTTATTGAGGAAAGGTGCAGGTGGGAGAACTATTAAGAGCTCATTAACTCCTTTCCTTTATCCATCTGGTTGGTTTTGAAGACTCATGAAAAGGACACCGGTGACTTCTCACTCGCTGCCATACTGACTCAGAGCGACTCACTGTGGGGTTCCAGGACTGTAACTGTTTATGGGAGGAGAAAGCCCAGTAGACTTAAGACTTGCCAAATGGCTAGTGAAATTCCAAAAGTCCATGCACCCTGAATTTTAAAATGTGAGCATTTGAACTTGCAAATACTGAGGTTTTGTCTTTCTTATTAGAAAAGAAAACTAACAATCTGACTGAAGCAGATCGCCAGAGCTTTCTTCCTAGCTCTTCTTACTCTGGCAGCTCCACTGAAACCTGTTCAGTGGCCTAGCAACACATGAGCCTCCACTGACTGATGCACATGAAGTGTGTTGGCCTGGAATTGAACCCAGTTTTCCCAAATGGAGGAGCCCTGGTGTCCAAATGGCTACAGCATTGGACTAAGTACTGAACCCACCGAGGGAGAAAGAACTGGTGATCTGCTCCTCTAAAGATTTTATTTAAACCCCAAAACCAATCCTAATCAATTCCCCTGTGGAAAGTAAGAGCTCTGCCATTTAACTATCGCTGATCTCTTTTTATCAATTAATAAGATATGTTTAGATATTTTCAAAGGTCCCTTTCTTTTACAAGGATCTCCTTAAAAATCAATGAAAAAGGAACAGTTATAGTGTCATTGCTTGCCACTTCAAGGCTTTAGACCCCATTTCAAATGTCTGAGTTGTTTTTTGTGTAAGTGCAATTTTTTATGTATAAGTGGAATTTGGATCATTGTGGAGCTACACATTCTGGTTTAAAGTGTCTGAACTACAAGGCTTCGTCTCACTCTTGTTTTCCTCAGAGGGTTATTTGCAAACCTGGACTCATCTTGAAGCTCCTCACCTTTCTGCATGCTGTTCTCTGTGGCAGGAAAGTCTTTAACTTTTTTTCCCACAAGTCTTTTTATTTATCATGCAGGTACATTTAAGAAACATTTTCTGCTGCATACAAAACGGCCTGCTTGAAGTTCTTTCTTCCCACAGTGCTTCCACGGTCAAAACTCTAGATCTTTTGTGCTTCATCACATGTCAAGGCTGTTTTACTAGCCACAGCTCTACATGGAAGCTGATGGAAAACTGGACTGTTCCAAGGAAGGAGGCTTCCTTGTCTAGATCCTGGAGAATTTTATGGGACAGGCGAGTGGCAGCTGCAGATACTTTGCTGACCTGAGCTGTCACGGTCTCTCCAAGTTGCTCTTGCGCGCACTTGGAGATCAGATGGCCACACTAGTCACAGACTTTGGGAACATGCTCTATGTTTTTAATTTCGACATCGTCCTTATTACTATTTTTTTCATAGTTTGAACTTTTGTTATAACCTCTTTGCTTATACCACAAAACGAATGCCTTCCGTTATCTGTTTTTTAATAAGTTTATTTTCTCACTTTGTTCTTTCAGTCCACTCACATTGTATATAATACACAGTCAAAATTCAGCATTCTAGGTCTTTGTAGGTTGTTTTTGTTAGGGGTCATCGAGTTAGTTTTGACTAAGCACAATAGAACAAAACACTACCCCGGTCCTTTGCTTTCTTCACAATCATTCGGGTGCCTGAGCCCATTGCTGAAGCCACTGTCAATCCATCTCCCTGTGGGCCTTCCTTTGTGTCCAATGCCCCTCCACTTTACCAAACACGATGGCCGCTGGGGACTGGTCTCTCCTGACTCATGGCCGAGGTATGTAAGCAAAGCCGTGCCGTCTTGCCTCTGAGGAGCACTCACGTCTATGACAGATCGGTTTGTCCTTTTAGCAGTCCGTGGTACTGTCAATATTCTTCTCCAGCACCACAATGCAAATGCATTGATTCTTCTCCAGTCTTCCTTACTCAGTGTCCAACTTTCCCATGCATATGAGGCAATGGAAACTACCGTAGCTTGCGTCAGGCTCACCGTAGCCCTCAAAGTCACATCTAATGTTCAAGCTGTTCCCTCAACCTACTCCTTTCCTGCAGCTTCCATTTCAGGGTGGTGCCTTCTTCATTCCCTACTTGTTTGCAGAAATCATGTTTGGGTATCATTACGTTTTCTTAAATCCGCTTCTTTCTTTTATGAGTTCCTCAGCTTTTTCCTGAATTTATCAGGTTTTCAGAAATTAGAATGCATTCAGTGTGATTTCCATAACCTCATAAGGTCACTATGAGTTGGCATTGACTCAATGGCAGTTAATTGGGTGTTTGGTTTTGATTATGGGAGTCCCTAGGAGTCCTAATGGTACTGTGAGTTATGCAATAGACTTCTAACCTCAAGATTGGCAATTCAAACCCACCCGCCACTTCTCAGGAGAAAGATGAGGTTGTCTGCTCCTGTAAAGATTTTCGGTCTTAGAAACCCTATGAGGAGGAATCAATTCAATAGTGGTTTGTTGGTCTTTTTTTTTTTAATTTTCTGGGAGTCTCTGAGGTGGCACAGTTACTTAAGCACACTACTACTAGTCAAGAGGTTGGTGGTTCAAACCTCCCCAGAGGCACATTGGAAGACAGCTCTCATAATCTGCTGTGGAAAAGTCACAGCCTTGGAAACTGTGAAGCAGTGCTACTCAGACATGCACGATCTCACCACGAGTCAGAATGCATTCCAACTAAGAGTACCAATATCATAGGATAGTAGTGATGATCCAGTTTTACCGGAGACAATCAAAGAAAGAAAGAATCAGGCATAAAGTGCCAGGGTCATCTGCTCCACAGCACAGCGCTAGTTATTGAAGGCTTGTTGTCATTGTGCTTGGCTGCCCGTTAGCTAGTTGCTAACTTGAGCAGTGCATACTCACATTGTATCTTCCCCTTTCATATCGACTTATTGCCTCTGCATGAAGTCTACACGCCCAACTTAGCTTTTTTCTCTTGGGATTGACTCTTTATTGTCCTCTTCTGCAAGGAGAGCATGGTATGCTAACCCATTGTCCTCTAGACACCTGCAGCCTTGTATGAATCTGATGAATCTTCATAACTAGGGCTCTCAAACTTGAACCCTTAAGATATTTGTTTGATGTGCGTTTGTGTGATGCTCTATCTCCGCTCCTCTGAGGCTTTCTCTTCTGCTGCGTGCCAAAGTCCTCTTCAGCCAAGCAGTTCCCTGGCAGTAGTTCAAGAGAGTCCAAGGTGAAATTGATCCTACATACATTTATTGAATGCCTATTGGTGAAGGGCCGCATTAGATGTTGCCTGCAGGTGAGATTAATATGAGCAGAAATAGAGATAACCCATGAGATAACCCCCAACTTCATGGCATTTGAACAAACTGGCCTTAGAGCGAAAAGATGTGTATCTCTATATGCACATATGTAACTGGAGGAAATATTTTTCAATTATTTTACAAGTCTGAGAGATATTTTCTGCACTTAGATGTAGTATAAATACGAACAAAAAATGCTATGTTGTGGTTCATCCACCTACTAATTGGCCCTGGTGAAGTTGTCTGGGTCAGGAAGTTGTAGAGTTTTGTATTTTTCAAACTCAGTTATTATGATTTTAAATAATTTCTTAATGTGTTCTTGGTGAAAATTTAACAGCAAGTTAGGTTCCCATTTGACAACTTATACACAAGTCATTCAATGACATTAATTACATTTCCACAGTGTGTCAACATTCTCTTAATTGCATTCTGGTTGCTCTGTTTTCAGTATTCTAGTTTCCCTGTCTCCTTATGTGCTTATGAGGGGGTACTAAAAAAAAAAACTGGAAAAAACTCCATTTGGCAGAACTTTTGTATTGCGTATTGGAAGGAGGTAAGGTTGTTTTGTAAAAAATAACAACAGAACCACTTGCTCTGAGTTAGTGTACCCAGTGGTGTCTCCTGGGAAGGTTCTCTCGGGTCACAGAGTCAATTTTTTTCATAAAAGCAGTTTCCCTCGAGCCTCATTTTTTTGTGATGGCCGATTTAAGAGAACAGCGACTGTGAAATTTGGTTTCCTGCTCAGAAAAAATGCTGCAGAAACTGTTGTAATATTTAACACACCTCACAAGAAAAGTGCTTTGGAAAAAACCTCAAGTGTACTAGTGGTTTTCTTGTTCCAAAAAGGTTGAAATGTCAGTTGGTGACAAACCTCGTTCTAAACTTCCATCAACTTCCTGAACGGACGGAAATGTTGACTCATAGTACATTTGGAGTTCATTCCACCAGATCCGACTGTAAATCAAGCTTTCTATTTAGAGATCCTGAAAAGACAGTGTGTGACAGAAAAGGCCTGATTTGTGGCAGACAGGGGACTAGTTTTTCCACCACGACAATGCACCTGCTCATGCAGCAATCTCAGTGAGCCAGTTTTTGGCAAAAAACAGTATGCCTCTATTGCCCCATGCACTATACTCACCTGACCTTGTTCTCTGCAACTTCTTTTTGTTTCTGAGAATGAAGAGGGACATGAATGGACAGTGATAGAAGTGAAGAAAAAAACACGAGGGAGGTGCTATCAGCTATCAAACAGATGAGTTTGAAAAAAGATTCCAAGAATGGAAAAGCAGATTTAACAAATGTATTATGTGTAATGGAGAGTACTTGGAAGGTG